GGTGTCAATCACTGGTTTGTCTGGCCAGTTATTAACAGATTCGTTCTCTAGCTGGATGTGGGTTTTGCCGGTTGCGTATCACTGTCTCATTTCCCCTTTCTAATATTTACAAATACAACACTGTAGTTCTTTCGACAATAACACATAACATTCCATCGCTATGACTAACGTTGGCATCACTTAACACTGTACCTTTTTCGCACCTAAATATGCAGAATATTTTTGAAGCACGCTCAGTTTAAACAACGAAACAGTGCTTCCGCAAACGTCCACGCTTTGTTAACGTAATTGGTGCCAACCAATTATAATTAGTTATGAGTCTATCAATTCCTCTGTTCATATATGACTACAGAGAATACTTGATTCAGGAACATTTCAGCAATCATATCATATCATATCATATCATATCATATCATATCATATCATATCACATTATTTAATACTGTTGTTCATATCATATCACATTATTTAATACTGTTGTTCATATCATATCATATCATATCATATCATATCACATTATTTAATACTGTTGTTCATATCATATCATATCATATCATATCATATCATATTAGGGTATTCCAACATAATTAAGTCGCCTCCCGACAGGGAATAGATTAGGTGGCATGAGATTTACCGTCGCGTTCAAGACTATTACACATAAATAAAGTCGTGCATTAATGCGTAACCCGTGAAGATCCGGGTTAGATTAGGTCTTCGGCAACCTATACTTCCCGTAATAAGCCAGTATGCTTGTCGTAAGAGGCGACTAACGGAATCGGGTGGTCAGGCTCGGTGCCTTGGATGCTCATGATGTCAATCACTGGATCGTCTAATCCAGACTCGATTATTTACAGACAGCCGTCGAATAGCTAGGGTATTGCTGAGGGCAGCATTAAAGAACAAACAAACAAAGCATTAATGTGTGCGTGTGTATGAATGCTTGAACTTCTCCGGATTGATGCCGTTTTTATAGTGCTAGCCAACTGAGATAACATGCCGAAAAATACTGGAATGTTTTTAATTTTTAACATGGATACCCCACTCAGACACATTTTATAGACTCCGAGCCAACCAGTCCTTGTTTATCCAATAAATGCCGAGCACCAGGCAGGGTAACATCAAGTACAATCTTTTAACGTATTTAACGCTTATACGCGGCCAGGTATGGGACCACCGGCCTTGCTCTCTCCGGGCACAAGGCTCTTTACCACTGGGAGTGTGTGTGTGTGTGTGGGGGGGGGGGGGGGGGGTTCAACAAGGAAGAGCTCTTTGTGGACCTATTCTGTTTAACAACCGAGTCAAGTTGAATGAACTTCGTGCTTATCAACGCTATCAAAAACTGATTTTCAGTATCTGTTTCCACATAATAGAGATGAAATGGTGAAAGCCAGTTCATATTTCGATTTATGGTTGGTTCACTAAAAATATACACTTAACTTTTACATCCGTGAACAAATCTGATTGTATTGCTTTGAATCGGATATATCATTTAATAATCAAAGGAATAGGCGTTAGAAATGTATCAGCGCTATATCCTGCTCATATTAATGTGTGTCGCAATTAGATCCGGTAACGTTACACCCCACTGGCTACGTAAGCAGGATTTAATACGGTATTTATTCATATCACGGTATTTCAGGTTGCCGTGCAAAAAGTCCAAAGATGGGAATGTCACAGATGTTTATGATTATCTTTATTTTAACATACGTTTCAACATAAAGATTATCAATTATAGAGTGGAAACGAATACATGTCTCTCTCCCATCCACACTTCTCTCCCTCGTGAGAGGAGTAAGCGTTGTACAGATTTTCGAGTGGAAAAGAATACATGTCTCTCTCCCAACCACGTGCACCCCTCTCTCTCTCGTGAGAGGAGTAAGCGTCGTAGAGATTTTAGAGTGGAAAAGAATCAGTTTCTCTATTCCATCCACCCCTCTCTCTCTCTCCCATCCACCTCTCTCTCTCTCATGGGAGGTGTAAGCGTTGTATAGATTTTCGAGTGGAAAAGAATACATGTCTCTCTCCCAACCACGAGCACCTCTCTCTCTCTCTCTCTCGTGAGAGGAGTAAGCTTTGAGTAGATTTTAGAGTGGAAAAGAATACATGTGTCTCTCCCATCCACCTCTCTCTCTCTCTCTCTCTCTCGTGAGAGGAGTAAGCGTTGTGTAGATTTTAGAGTGGATAAGAATACATGTCTCTCTCCCATCCACCTCTCTATCTCTCATGAGAGGTGAAAGCGTTGTATAGATTTTACAATATCGAAACAGGCCAGCTCTACACGATAATTGATATGTCCATACTTATTTCTCGTGGGTAGTTATTTCATTTAACACAACCTTCTCCACTTGGACGAGACCTGGATTCGAACCGATCAGCAAATCCGCAACGGGCAGGGGACACCACTCAGCACGACAAACTGCGTCGACTAGCCCCGAGGCTACCGGTGTCCCCCGTTAGATAAGAACTATCAATGAATCAATGTGTATTGTTTCAAGGCCAACTAACACTAATCCGTACAGTGACAACGGTACAATGTTAACTGTGTGATTGGCATTCCAGAAGTTGGTGAGTGAGTAAGATTACGTAAAACTTTCTTGATAACAATTTCTGGTTTATTGCATATAGTGACGTTTCGATGTAGATACTTACGCCGTTATCAAGCTGGAGTACACTGTTGTATCACACGCAATGGCCCGATATCACCACGAATCTTAAAGACATTATGTAAATATTTTCCTTACATGAATGATCTATCAGTGCTTCCATTTAGAAATAATGACTGAATACCAGCTTTATTACGTAATGTAATTAGAACAGGGTAGTCTTATTACGAAATGCAGTTAGAACAGGGTACAGCTTTATTACGACATGCAGTTAGAACAGGGTGCAGTCTTATTACGTAATGTAATTAGAACAGGGTAGTCTTATTACGTAATGTCATTAGAACAGGGTACAGCTTTATTACGACATGCAGTTAGAACAGGGTGCAGTCTTATTTAGTAATGTAATTAGAACAGGGTAGTCTTATTACGTAATGTCATTAGAACAGGGTACAGCTTTATTACGACATGCAGTTAGAACAGGGTGCAGTCTTATTACGTAATGTAATTAGAACAGGGTACAGACATAATACGAAATGTACAGCCTTATTACGAAATGTAATTAGAACAGGGTGCAGCTTTATTACGAAATGTAATTAGAACAGGGTACAGCCTTATTACGACATTCAGTTAGAACAGGGTACGACCTTGTTATGTAATGTAATTAGAACAGGGTACAGACATAATACGAAATGTGATTAGAACAGGGTACAGCCTTATTATGTAATGTAATTAGAACAGGGTACAGCTTTATTACGAAATGTTATTAGAACAGACCATAGCCATATTACGTAATGTAATTAGAACAGGTTAGTCTCATTACGTAATGTAATCATGTCAGGACTTCGTACTTCTACATATAATGGACAATGAAAAGAATGTTTTTCATCTTTAATTAGGTTACACAATTAACAATTTGTTTCGACATCTTCATCGCACAGACCTTTTCTAACAATGTGTCTACACAGATAGTAAAACGAGCATCTAAACAATAGCAATGCCTTCCTAGATTTAGTTTTATTAACACAGTATAAATATACCTCTGACCCTTATCTACATTTCTAAAATGCTTAGCAACATGACTTTCCAGCAATAAGTTCCGAATGTCAGTTCTGCTCAGCAAGTAAAGAATCATTACTGTACTGTTTTGTTTATGTCAATATCAACCTCGACATTTGGCGTTCTGTATAATTCTGTTTGCTGTTTAACGTCGCATTCAGTTTGTTCAAGCTATATGGAGGCAGCCTGTAAATAATCGAGCCTAGATCAGACAAGCCAGAGATTGACATCATGAGCAAGCTTTACGCAACTGGGATACGGTCACAAACATGAACCAAGTCACCGAGCCACATCACCCGATCCCGTTAGTCGCCTCTTATGACATGCACGGACTGGTATTATTCTGTATTTGCAGCTGTTCAAACGGGATGATATATTTAGAGGATTCATATTTTCATTTTGAATTCTTAGTTAATTGTATTTCTTCGGTCAACGAATTGTTTTCAAAGAGGTACGGTTTCTCATAAATATATTTAAGGCATGGTGCCCTATCCTGCCCTGTGTATGACGGCCATCCGCCGCCAACCTGTGTCGAAAGTCTCCCCTCCCGTCTACAGTCGGGAGGGTAGTTGGAACAAGGGGTCAGGGGTAGGAAGGATCTATCTGTCTATATTATATATATATGCTGTCATATATTCAGTTTAAACTGTTAGTTGATTGTATATCTACGGTCAACGAATGCTCTGTGAAAGAAGTACGCTTGTCCATATATTTTTAAAGAAAGGAATAGTTTGTTAAAAAAAATACAGGAAACAAATATGTTTGTACCAAGTTTTACGAAAGATGTCATGTAGCCGGGCACGAAGGATGCTCTGAAGAAATTAAAATACATAAAAAAGTAATTAAATCAAGAAAAAACGTAAAAATACATGTTTCCAGAAATCCCGTGGTATTTTAAGTTCCGTAAAGTGCGTGACCTCTCGCACATTTTCGGAATGAAAACACAAATTCGTCAACAAAGATGGGGGATGGGGGCACTTGCTTTACTGGACGCGACGTTTTATAACATAATCCTAATGAAAGTAAAGCTTTTCTGTAGATTTAAAAATAATGTGTACCCATTCCAACACATCCAGTTTGCACAACCATATATCGCAGTTTAGTTGAAAGATCTTGTGCCATCTTCATCATCGTCCCCCGGCTTCAAAAGAATACCAAGCATTGCAACAAACCCTCAGCCGAACTGGACCAGCATGCTATTTTTAGACTACAAGCGTATCACCACGGGCTGACAAAACACACTGCGCAACCGCTCCTGGGAAAGTCGCATGATCACGCTTACCTCACACAACTTTAAGTTGTAACAGTGAAACTGAAAACTCCCATTGTTAATATTTATCTATGTTAGATGACTCGAGTTTTTCAAAGAATTCCCTCTGTGATTCACTGCGGCGCGCCTCGTGACGTCACATCCGTTTAATCTGAAAGGCTCTCGCTTGCTCAGTCTGAACAATCGATAGCTGTGCTCAACAAGCCTACCGAGGATATACTCTTTGGATCTGTATTTTGTCGTGTGTCTGGATTAAGGATTAACTAATCATGGGCTTAGGAAGCTGTTACACCTGCATCAAGTATTTGATGTTTGCATTCAACTTTTTATTTTGGGTAAGTGATCAATTTTTCTGACTTGTCTCTCTTCACTAACGAACAACACGGGTCTTCTACTGCTTTGCGACTGTTTTCAACTCCGATCGTCTCCACATGCACATATTGTGACTGTACACTGCCTGTACGGACAGCTCTGCTTACAGTCGTTCGTGACAAGTGCGTTTAAATGGATGTATACATTGACGGTGCTAAAATTAACTCGCACACTGGCTGGAGGCCTTTCAAGGTATCGCGACCCACTTTTCCCCACACACTGTGCCACAGCCCTTGCCTGAAGATTGTTGTTGTAAAAGCAGACCACATTTTGCATACATGCATTCTTTTACAGTTTCGTTTTCACTTACTGTCGAGTGTGGACAGTTAATGTTTCTAGTCACCTTGGAATCTATCCAATACACTTGATAAGAATAATCGTTGGTCTCGGCTTGAGATATTATTCACTTTGAAGCAGACAGCTGCAGCCTGTTTTGAATACAGCGGTTGTCGTCTGCTTCAATTTGTGTGTGTATTCACCACGATAACCACTAAAAACTCATGCATATCGTGCAGGAGTTAATTAGCTGGATAGAACTACAACGGTCGGGATTGTAACGGAATTTGTAGTGTTGCAACGCGCGGAGCGTCTGTTTTGAAAATGCAGACTGTTGACGGGTTTAACGCATGGATGCCCAAACCTGCCCAGTGTATGCCCGCCATTCGCCGCCCACCTGTGTCCAAAGGCTCGCCTCCCGCCTCCAGCCGGGGTGGGGGCTCGTCAGAGCCTGGGGGTCAATGATAGGACGGATGTTGGATAAGTTTATGTGGCCTTTTATTAGGCGATCGTTTAATTATTGGCATATTAACAATGACCACAGCAGCTTTGTCATCTTGATGTGTGTAACTATGCTAGGGTATTCCACGCTGAACTGGCACTCTCCTGTTTGGCCCATCATCACGAAGCCGGATGCGTTTTACTAAGTGATCAATATGTACGTTTAAATTTGAGAAGGAACTTCTGTTGCACTCAGAATAGATTGTAGTAACGACAGCGATAGTGGTCTCATTATTGATCGTAAAATTCTTAAGAGACGTAAAATATTGTTGAAAGTCGTAATTATGTAAAACGAATTGATATACAACCAGTCCTCACCAAATGTTATTATAAATTCGGAACAAAGTCCGGGCAATTTCGTACCACCGATTGAAAGCACACCTCGACCTTCAGACAAGACAAGTGTATTCATCTGATACTACACGTTGCTATCGAGGCAGTGTTTGAGATAGAACCTTTATATCCGATTGAATGTGATTTTAGTTTTTTGACAGTGGTTTTGTTTACGTTTCTCCAAGCAGTGTCTTTATTTGCCTGGGACGTTTATGGTTTGTTTACTGGTCAGGAAATCTACACTGCGATCTAATAGTTTCACTTAAGAAAGCACCCGTGAGCTTGAACAAAGTTATTTGTCGGCCGTGAAGGCTGTTTTTGTGCTTGAGGCATTTGAAAGTTGCGCATGTCATGATAATGTTATTGTCATGGAAGCAGTTATGAATGGATTATTGGTAACAAACCCTCAACGCCATGCTGCAATATCTTGATTGTGATTAAAATTTAAACTAAGCGCCTGGGCGTTAATTTCTTTCGAAGTACTTCATACACTGAAAGGAAAAAAATCAGTTTTGTTTTCATACATCTTCCAGGGTACATGTAAATTATGGAATTTTGTTGTGAAATATTACTGTACAAATATACTAGATCCAAATGGATCAAGGAAGAGTGTGGTCTGAAATAAAATAATTGAAATATCCATCTATCATAAACGTTAAACATTTTAATGGCAAATTCGTTTTGTAATGAAATCCAAACTGCCTTGTCGATTTTCAAATTTCGATATTTTTGCACTGAGAAATGAATAAATTTTATAGAACTAATTAGGGATTAGCACTAGCTTAGTATAATCCGATATTCGTGATATGCGCCTTTTCGTCATATTTCTATATTTATATAAATGATCACAATTTCATTATTTTTATTCTACAATGCATAACCTTGAAAGTCCGGGGAAGAATAGGCTCCATGTTTGTCGGTGGGCAGGCTTCGTGACTGATCGCGTGTTTTCCTGCCCCGGTGGCATAAACGCTTGTTCATGTTGTCAGTCACTGGTTTGTCTGGTCCAGTCCGTTTATTTGAAGGTCGCAGTGATACAGCTGGAATGTTGCGTAAAACTAATATTCTTTGATTCAGCCATAGAAACGGAACACTTTTAATCAAGTAGTCCTCATAATGATAGCAAAGCCCTTAAAATGGCACATCTCAAGTTGTCTCTTTGATAGTGGCAAGTTGCCTTTTTCAAAAGTGGGGCGGTTTGGCAATGGCTATAGGACTAGAGCCAAATTCAGTCGCTGATTCATTCGCCCTGTAGTGTATAACCCTTAGGTTGGACTTTGAGGTAGCAGTTATTATCGCCCAAGGAAATAGGCCTACGCAATGGCGCTGAGTGCACATGTAAATTATCTCATGTGGATGTGTATCCCAACTGTTACACGTGTATCGAGTCACCGTGACTTGGTCGATTTTCTGCTGGTGAATTGTGAGCATGGGTTAAACATAGACCAAAGACGTATACCAGATACACTTGCCCAAGGCTACATCGGGGCTCCTTATCTTGATTTAGCGTCTCAGTAATAGCATCTCGTCACATCATAGTTTCGTTAGTGTAATGGGTTTAAGCAACAACCATCATCATCATCAACAACAAAATACCAATAATGACAATAATGACTTACAGGGATAGCAAAGTGGTTTATTCTGAGTGTCCCAAGGGACTCTCCTAAAATGTTAAAGGTTTCAGTGTACCAACAAGAATACTAGAATACTTCTACAAATAACAAATCTGCAGTTTAGTACAGTTTACTTGAGTAAAGGTTTATATTCATCATTGGCTTCATGTAATCAACATCACATGCTATTTTAGTGAAAAAGAGTCGGATTTGTTGTCGATGCTAAAAGCACCGGGAACTATTCACCATTCACCGGGCTATAATGACTTTGACCAGCTTTTGGTTAACGCCACAGTAAGCAATATTCCAGCAAATAGCGCGATCGGTAAATAGTCTAGTGATTGACTGGGATACGATGACATGGGTCAACCAGGTCAAAACCCTAACCACCCGATCCCCTCAGTCCCCTCTTACGACATGCATGGTTTGCTGTAGACCAATTAACGAGTATCTTCACGGTGAGCATGGTGAGGCGGATGATTGATGTTTGCTTGTTTGTTGTTTGCTTGTTTGTTGTTTAATGCCGCACTCAGCAATATTCCAGCTATATGACGTCGGTCTGTAAATAATCGAGTATGGACCAGACAATCCAGTGATTGACATCATGAGTATCGATCCACGCAATTTGGATACGATGACATGCATCAACCAAGTCCTGTTAGTCGCCTCGTACGACAAGCATGGGTTGCTGAAGACCTATTCTACCCCGGATCTTCACGGGTCCGGATGATTGATGATGCAAGTGAACGTTCACGTTGTTGTTGATACAGGATTTGACGATGGCCTTACTGCTCGTTCGTTTTACTGGGAAAATGGATGTCCCTTTAAGTCCAGCAATTGATGGTCTTAGGGTGTAATTAGCAAATGGATGTCTGACACCACAAAGACGGACAGAGATAATTGCACAATGTTATCAGGAAACGGGCGTTACAGAAATTGCATTCTGCCAGCTCGAGATTCAGATTTGCAGTCACGCCAAAATATGGTTGCATTAAAACAAAGACACAATATATCCAGGGCGTTGTGCACATTCCACAAAGGTTGTACGTACAAAAAGTATTCGCGATGGTGCTGTGTTTGAATAAATGTGAATTGCGAGACACTACACATAGCTATGTTGAAATATCAAGATGCTAAGTTGAAATTTCAAGATGCTATGTTAAAATTTTATGATACTAATAAGTTGAAAATTTTAAGTCAGTATCTTGACCATTTACCTTTCAACACAGTATCTTGAAACTTCAAGAAAAAAAACAAATGGCCCTTTAAGGCTTCCGTACGTGAAACATATAGCTTAAATCAAAGGTGGTGAATGATCAGTTTGAATGTTCTCAAAATCTCATGGTACTCTGAACAAATTATCGCAACTAAGTTTGACATAATGCACGATAAGGGCGTGTGGACGAGACGACAGGGTCCGGGATGTGTGTTATGTTAATTAAACACCAGCTTGTAAGTCAGGCGGTGCACACGAGAGGGTCTGGTATGCTGCTATATGAAACCTGACAAAACCACAGCTTGTGTCTTTCAGCCTGTTTAAAAATAGCCAGACTCAACCTTACACTCTTTGCAGAAATGATGAACAGGAAGCATTCGGCCAGTGTTGCGTTAGTGGTGCGGAAAACGAAAACATATGGTGCATATTTAGAGTTGTTCAGCATTATCATGATAATTGACACCATTGCTGTGACTTGAGGTCGATGCAATAGCAATGTTTTAGCCAGTGTTTTAGCGTCGTTTGCTTTTATTAGAAGGGAGGAACGTAGTTTTCTTTATGGCAAGATACATGTAGGTATTTTAAGGGCAACGCACATCCGGAAAAAGTCAATTAACATTAAGCTAAACAAATGTCGAGTCTGATTTTTTTCTTTCGTTTGTTATACATAGAGATTAAGTTCATTTTGGTTTCTGAAAGAGAGAAATGTGATTACAGTAGCAATATCAGTTTCAAATCTAATTTAAAGAGCTTTGTATCAATAATTTAGGGAGCACGGGTGATCCAGTCATCTAAGGTGCATACCAGAAACCTATGGCCGCTGGTTCGAATCCCTGTTTAACCTGATTAAGATTGTTGGTTCGCAAACAACACACTGGTCGTTGTTTTCACCAACTTGGTAACTATCTGAGACCTGCATCACTTCGAACTTGCCTCCCGCATCTAGATGACACGCCGGGAAATAACTGAAACACTTAAATGTGATGTCAAACTCAACTCACTCACTCGAAAATTGGGACTAGAT